CGTGACCCGCTACAATTTGATACATTCAACACTGAACGTTCCGAGCCGAGCGTTCCTTAAAGGGGCCGCGGCCCGCCCAGCGCGGAGGGGCCCCACTGCTCCTGGGCGAGTGGGTGGGGGAGGCGCGCAGCGCCGAGCACCCCCGAGCCTGGAAAGCAGCCCCAACCGTTTTGCAAGCTAAATTGTTTTTAAATTTTTTTTGCAAGCGATTTTGGCGTTTGTATTCGCCGCTCCACGTGTCATCGAAACGGACGGCGTGGTTCGAAGAGACTTTCGGTGCCGTTTCGGGGGAGGGGACAAAGGGAGGTTGAAATCGGAAAGATGCTTGCTTAGAAGCCGTCGGAATGAAGCCGCTAAGGCAGGGGTGGGCAACATGCGGCCCGCAGGCTGGATGCGGCCCGCCAAGCCATTCTGTCCCTAAAAAATTTAGAAAATTAATATGTATCCGCCCCTGGCTGGCTGTCATGCAGCCCTCGATCCCGTGCCAAAACTCAGTAAGCAGCCCTCCGCCCACAATAATTGCCCGCCCCTGCTCTAAGGGGCTCCAAGTGACCCTCCTGCCCACGGCCCCAACAGCTGGGGCAGGCGCGGTGCCTGGGATCCTGCAAGGACTTGGGTTTGTCCTTGTGGGGACCAGGCGGCAAGGAGAAGGGTTTGGAAATCACCACCCCTGGCCTTTGAGCGGGGCTTAGAAACCACGAGGGTCTCTTTGTAAACGGCATGTGTCCACGTTTCCAGCTTCTCCTTCCCCGGCGGAGGCTGCAGGAGCACTGGATCGCAGCCTCCCCCAGCCGTGGGCTGGGAAGGGACCCGCAGAGGTCACATCCACGTGTCTGAGGGTGGATCGGCCCTGTCCAAACCAATGCCGTCAGCTCAATGCTGCATAAGAGGGTGGAAGGGGACGACTTAGAGCAACGTTCCTGCCTAAGTGCAAAGTGCTGCACTGAGGAGGGAGCGATCCCCTGCACCGGTGCAGGCTGGGGGGGACGGGCTGGGCAGCAGCTCTGCAGAAAAGGACCTGGGGGGGATAGTGGGCAATAAGATGGATAGGAGCCGGCAGTGCGCCCTTGTGCCAAGAAGGCGACCGGCATCCTGGGCTGCATGGGCAGGAGCGGTGCCAGCAGATGGAGGGACGTGATCCTTCCCCTCTATTCAGCACTGGGGAGGCCACATCTGGAGTCCTGTGTCCAGCTGTGGCTCCCACTACAGAAGGGATGTGGACACGTTGGAGAGAGTCCAGCGGAGGGCAATGAAAATGGTTGTGGGGCTGGGGGGCAGGACTGGTGAGGAGAGGCTGAGGGAACTGGGCTGGTTTAGGCTGGAGAAGAGAAGACCGAGGGGGACTGAATAGCAGCCTTCACCTCCCTGCAGGGGGGCTGCGAAGAGGATGGGGCTGGGCTGGTCTCAGTTTGGGCAGATACAGGACAAGGAGCAATGGGCTCAGGCTGCAGCAAGGGAAGTTGAGGTTAGAAATTGGGAAGACTTTTCTCACGAGGAGGGTAGTAAAACACTGGAGTAGGTTACCCTGAGAGGTGGTGGCAGCTCCATTCTTGGGAGTTTTCAAAACCCATGTAGACAAAGCGTTGGCTGGGATGATGCAGTTGGGGCTGGTCCTGCTTGGAGCAGGGAGTTGCACTAGATGTGACCCCCCTGAGGTCCCTTCCAGCCCAGTTGGCCTAGACTTGAGGGCCCTCAAGGTCCCTTTTAGACGCCAGGATTCTCCGAATGCTAAAAGCAAGGCATTTACTCTCATAAAAAACATGAAAGTGGAGATTTTCACATCACAGCATGGCAGGACCTCCCTACATGACATGAGCATGGGAGCTTCAGCGGTTAGGGCAGCACCCGGCGCTGTGAGGGCTGCATGGACTCGGTGAGAGTTGGCGACGCCAGGTTTGTTCCTGCATGAAAAGCTTTCCTGGCTCTACGCGCCCATCCCGGTTTGTCAGAGCTCGCGGTTATCCTGATCTCTTCCCTTGGCAAAGGTCAACGGTGTAGACGTATTTCCCGCTTTGCTCACCCCGCCAGATGTGCTGACCTGCCCTTTGCTGGTCTCTGCGTTGAGCCTGGGACCCTGTGCAACTCTGTTTGTTGAGGCCGGTCGGAGCACCTCAAGCCGGGAGGCCTGGGGGAGGTGGGAGAGTAACATTTTATTTTGCCTCTGACTTACTCTGGTCCAAAATGCAATGGATCCTGATGCAGCCATTTGAAGAAGGGAGGATCAAAGGGACCGGCCCGGTCACTGAGCCACATCCCCTGCTACTGCAGCACGGCATTGTACTCCGAGGATCCCGGGGGAGCCCACACTTTGTCTGACAAAGGGAAGCCGTGTTATCCCTGAAGCTCCTCTCTCAAGCTGGGCTTTGGCCTAGGGCTTCTGCCTCCAGCTTTCCCCAGCTCCACTCCAGCCTGTGACACATGTGAAGGGTATCTGATGTCTCCTCCCTTAGTTACTTCTTCAGAAGATACAGGCTGGAGAGCGAGATCCGCCTCCCTCCGGCAGTGCCGCGTTGGCCCCCCAAGGATAAGGGGCAGACGCCCGTGTTCAGGGGTGAGGGTGGTCTCGGTATCCTGGAGCGAGGGAGAAGAAACAAGCACTCGTTTTCCTCGGGAAGGGAAGATCTGACTCTGAACCCCCAGCTCAAGTGAGTCAAGAGCAGCTAATCATACGTGATCATTAGACTTGGAACCGCTGACCATGCTTGAAGTTGTTGTGGGCTTGCCGGTGCTGTGCACCCGCGTGATGTTTGTCACTAGCACTCATCCAGCTGCACACGGGGTGAAGAGGCCCCTCTCCTGCCCTCGTAACGTCCTGGAGAAGCGGGGCTGGAGGGGACCTCCGGAGGTCATCTAGTCCAATGCCCTGGTTGAGGCGGGGTCATCCCTATCCAAACCATCCCGGGCAAATCGTTGTCTAACCTCTTAGCCCAACTGCAGGGTCACTTCCGACACAACACAACACATCGCGCCCAACCCTGGCCCAGGTAAAGCAGGGGCCACAGTGGCCAACGGCCCGCTGCTGCAAAGGTTGTTAAGAGACCCGGGCAGAGGGGCTGAGCAAGCAGCGATTCCCCAGCGGTTCCACCTACGCCTGCCCCATCCCTGCCGTCACAGTGAGCTTCTGTGCTGGGCACGGATGTGCTACTGCGTGTCATTCAGCTGCAGTGACCCCGAGTCCCAGTGCAGCTGGGCTTGTCCCCAGGGCAGTCGGGATTTCACAGCCAGCCCGCTTAGGGGAAGCAGCTGCTAATCTCCTCCAGCAATCTGTGATCTCAGCCCCTTTTACAAGGTACGGTATGTGTGGCCTTGCCTTCTGGAGATCTGCACTTCCACCGAGATCTGCAAGGCTCTGCACAAGGAGACCAGGGTCTGCCTCACCGGAGTACAGGCGCCCCGACAAACCAGACGTATACTTTGCCTGCAGACCCAGGCCCGAGCCATGGCTCTCACAAAAAGGGGACGGCAAACTGGTAGATGAGTCCAGCCGGGGTTGCCCAGTGGTCCCCGTGCTTGGTGACTCCGGTGCAGCCTGCCTCCCCGTCCTCTGGTACCCGTATGAGATGCACCATCTCGCCTCCAGGCACGGAGGCGAGCAACTAGC